TCCTCCCAGCCGAGACGCATCATATTTTGTCCCCCCCCCCCTTGTGATGAAATACAAGACTCTTAAACAGGCTATTATTCAGCGAATCACGCTTTCTGATAAGGTCCGTCTTCAACCACTATTTAGCGACCAGCAACTAGGAGATAGGATGCCTACAGTCTTGTTGCCAGAAATGCAACTGCTCATTGACAAGTCCAGCATGGAAGTAGGATTTCTCCACGCACTGTGGATGCAACGCCACCTTGAAGGCACTCAAGCCATCCTTGCAGTTGCAAGCGACCTGCCACTCACAACAATTGCAGATCTAGCAGATCGCGTCGTCGAAGAGCGCCAGTCAGAGACTGAACCCAGAGCACTTGCACAGCTTAACGCTGGCGCAACCTCAGAGATACCTGCAACAAGCGAGCCGTCGACAATAGACACTTTATCAGCGCAGATAGCGTCGCTTCAGCGCTAGATCGAAAAGGTCGCTTTAAACCATAGGCACCGCAGCCGCTCTAAATCATCGTCTCGTCGCACAAAACCTGACGTCCCAGGCTACTGTTTTTATCACTTGCGTTCCGGTACTAAGTGCCGTAAGTGCGTACAGCCATGTAGCTTCTTCGCTACAGAGGATCCGCCACGCCGGCCTGTAATGGCCACGAAAGTTGTCGGCAAAACTCAAAGTCGTCTCAGCTACAGGGATTATTACTCCGAGACCCGGTTCTTACTTGATACTGGGGTGGAAGTCAGCGTCAGCCCTCCCTGTGCCAGGTGCGCTTACCGCTCCTTCGTCGACAAGCCTGAGTGCCGCCAATGGTATACCAATAGCTACCTACGGTCATCGGTCGCTTACCCTGGACTTAGGTCCTCGGTGCATGTTCCGCTGGGTATTCATCGTTGCTGAACTTCCCTTTGCCATCATTGGCATTGATTTTCTCAGGCATTTCGACTTCTTTGTCGATGCGAAACGCCATATGATAGTCGGCACTGTAACGAAACTGTGTGTGCGTGGCGTCGACGTCGATATCGCATCTTTCACTCTAGTCTACGCCTTTACTCAGACATCGCCAGACTACGCCAATCTCTTCCCCCAGTACTCCAAGCTCCTTCAGCCAATGAAGGCAGCCATTCCCGAGGCAACCCAAGTTACGCACCACATTCGGCAAATGGCCCACACGTCTCATGCCGTCCACGCCGACTGTCACCTGAGAAACTTAGGGTAGCTAAGGCGGAGTTTGAACACGTGCTCGAACTCTGGATAATCCGTTCATCCGACAATCATTAATCCTTTCCAATGCAGATGGTCCCTAAGGAATCTGGTGACTAGCGCCCTTGAGGTGACCACCGTGCACTCAATAGGCTAACCGTCCAGATAGGTATCCCATCCCACACATGCAAGACCTCACCACATGCCTCGCAGGTAAGACGATCTTCAGTAAGGTCGATCTGGTTCGCGCTTATCACCAGATACCTGTAGAAGAAAAGGATATTTCTGAAACAGATGTCATCACTGCCTTCGACTTGTTCGAATTTTTAAGAATGCCTTTCGGACTGTGCAACGCCGCACAAACCTTCCAACGCTTCATCCACGATGTCACTCGTGGTCTAGACTACTCCTATCCACACCTCGATGACATTCTAGTAGCCAGTTCAACGGAAGAAGAGCACCTCGACCATCGCCGTTTTCTCTTTCAGCGCTTGACTTAACACGGTGTCACAGTCAACCCGAATAAGTGTGAACTCGGCAACTCAACAGTAGAATACCTAGGCCACCTCATTTCATCATCAGGTATCGAAGTTCTACCTGATAAGATCCAGGCAACTAAGGGCTTCCCAGCTCCGACGTCATTCAAGCACGTTCGTCGATTTTGTGTTTTTATCAACTCTTATAGAAGCTTCATTCCTCATTGTACTTAGCTCATGCAGCCCTTGACTTACGTCCACAAAGGAAATGATCGTAAGTTTGCCTTCCCGAACACAGTAAAGACCGTCTTTACGGAGCTCAAGGACACTATCTCCAACGTAGCTCTTCTCGCTCATTCCGAATCGACCGCACCTGTCTCTATCACTACTGATGCCTCAGAAGTCGCGGTAGGAACTGTCCTCCAATAACGCATTGGTGGGCACTGACAACCTCTCAGTTTCTTTTCCATACGCCTGCAGCCAGCGGAATCAAACTACAGCACGTTTGGCATAGAACTGCTTGCTGTTTAGTTGGCCATTCGCCACTTCCAACACACGCTCGAAGGACGCGCTTCCACGGTCTACACTGACCACAAGTCCTTCATCTTCGCTTTCTACTCAGCCTCTGACAAATACTCATCACGGGAAACCAGACACCTAGACTTTGTCACGCAGTTTACTGCCGACATACGTTATGTTTCAGGTGTTGGCAATCCCGGCGCCGACGCTCTCTCACGCGTCAACCTCACCCTTCAGTCTTTGTCTACTGTCGACCTTGCCGCCATGGCATCGGATCAGGCTCAAGATGAAGATATACAATGCACCCTGCAGTCCACTTCACTGCATATGCAACCTGTTCCTCTCCAAACCACGGAATGAACCATCCACTGTTACACGTCCACAGGCTGTCCTAGACCCCTCGTGCCCGTCTGCTTCAGACGCACTGTCTTCAACGCACTCCACGCACTGTCACATCCCGGTATCCGTGCATCTTTGAAGCTGCTCACCAAACGTTTCGTTTGGCCACGCATAAACAAAGATGTTCGTACCTGAGCTCGCGTCTGCGTTCAGTGCCAGCGCTCCAATGTACATCGTCACACCTGTAGACTTATTGGCTCATTTCTCTTCACGGACTCTCGGTTATCGCATGTACACTTAGACCTAGTAGATCCCTTGCGTCCTTCACGCGGATTCGTCTGCATACTTACATGTGTCGACCGCTTCACCAAGTGGCCAGAAGCCATTCCCGTAACAGACTGCACAGCTGATACTGCTATCCGGACCTTCTTAAATCTGTGGGCATCGCACTATAGATGTCCATCCATCATCACAACTGCCCTTGGAATGCCCTTCGAATCTTCACAATTCGATACGTTCTGCAAATTCTTAGGCTACCGCCGTATTCACACGACAGCGCATCATCCCGCAGCCACAAACTAGTTGAATGCTTCCATAGACAGCTAAAAGCCTCCCTCTGCGCCCCCCTCTGATCCTAAATGGAGCGGAAACGTTTCACTCGTACTCTTAGGCCTTCGTAGCTGCATCCAAGCTGAGTTGCAGTGTCACCAGCAGAGCTGGTTTACGGCACAACGCTAAACTTGCCAGGAGAATTCGTTTCGCCCCCCGCATCGTCGAGTATGCCTCCGCCTAACTTTACGTCCTCCCTAGCTCAGCGCATGCGTTCACTACGCCCGACTCCGCCCCGTGAGCAGACCAGATGTGCAAATGCACAGCGGGCTCTATATCTGCACTCATGTCTTCCTCCGCACCGACGCAGTGCGGTGCCCTCTCCATCCGCACTACACTTGTCCTTTCAAACTTCTGTAACGGACTCAGAAGCACTTCACTTTAGACCAGAATGGTCACCCAACACAGGTGGTCATCGACCGCCTCAAAGTGGCTTTTGACGAACCACTTGCAACCCATCCTGATGCTATCACACACGCACCCGCGGTGACTTCTCGAGCATTGGATATCCCTAAACTCTCCGCTCCCCTTGACCCTCAACCTACCCCGCCTAAACCCCAGGCAACTGACCGACGAGGTAGACAGATCAAACGTCCTGTCCGTTTTACAGGTTTCCTTAAGGTTTGTTATTTCCACTCACACACATATTTTTCATCTTTGATAATAATCTTGCGTTTCACCCGCAAACCTTTTGCAGAATCGACCAGAAACTCCAACACATTTTGAAAAACCCAAAAACCGTATTTGCTTTTATCATATGTACCGTGTTCTCTCTCCAGCGTCAAGCCACTTTCCCCGTCCCTTGCCCACCCTTTCTTAGTTCTAGCTTCCAGAAACTCAACCACTAGAAGAACCAGGGCATTCCTCGAATGGTTCGCCAACCGGCTCAAGGACCCTCCCTGAGCCCAGCGACAACCAGTCGCCCTCAACTGCAGATGGCTACAAATGGATTGGTCCCCAAACGTCTGGATACGCAGTGTCGAGGAAGACGCTTGGATTTCTTCGTGGGAGGGAGCACCGTGGTTTGGAGTGCTATAGAATGAGTAACACCTCTCAAGCGCACCGTCGGGTCTGCAGTGGACGAAATGTCCTGTCGGCTTTTTTCTGCACTAGCCAGTTTCATTTTGCTGCCCGACGAGCCCGCCCCGACGGCTCAGCGAAGATGCTCTCTGGTCCACACGAATATCATAATGAATAAAAGAAGCATGGACCCAGCGAACCCCGATACACATCCCACTTTAGAAGCCCTTGTTCAAACACATATTTTACTTTTCGCACCCATCCTTACTTACCCTCTCCCTCCTGACAGCTCTATCGAAGACTTCCATCATTCAGCCTTCTAGGGGAAGTCTTTGTAGTGCACCTGAAAACACTATTTCAGTACCTTACAATATTAAATATTATTATTGTTTGGAACTTTCAAACATCCATTTCTTTTACTGACTACACATCCGTTTTCACAAACTGCTCTCGTGATTCCCGCACTATACCGTTCCTTACCCTTGCTGATTCGCTTCTTATTCTCGTAGTCTGTACAATGCATGTTGGGTGCAGCTGTCTCCAACTTCTCTACCGCACCTATCCCAGGCACCACACAACAGATATGCCAAACTTCTATTTTGTACAGACTATAGTAAAACGAATCGATATGTCCGTCGAACAGTGGTTCCTCCTTTGGAGACGCCAATTGCCGCGTTAGTGGTTCATCCACGGGATCCTGACTTCAAGTTTCCGTTGTCTCTGGCTTCTGACAACAAAATCTGTGAACTCAAATGACTGTTTTGTTTCAGTACCACCTGCCAGTTATACTCTGAGCTGCAGTTCGAGCCCGTTTCGTTCTTTTCTTCCGCCACACCCGACATTTTTACCAATTTAACACCACTTTTATTTCAAGCGAAAGCTTCGAAAATCAAGAAAATCATTCAAAGCAGATATATATTTATTTCATGAATTTAACTTTGGACTTTTCTTACGACATTTCGTTTAAACAGACTTCCTAACCTTCACTTTGTCCCCAGTCGTTTGTGGATGAGTCGGAATAGTTCATACTTTATTTCTTGGGGTTCATTATTCCATCCAGCTGGGCCTGTGTGCGAATAGTGGGGGTTAGGATGGGTTTAGTCACTTGAAGACGCATGCATCTGCAACATGGTATTGGAATTCAGACGGTAAAGATTTTGTATCATTCCCTGGACTTCAACCATGACGAGGAACATCGCTTCTGTTGCACGAGTTCTCACCTGGGCTCACAAATGTTATTGCCCTTCGACTGACACCCCACATGCAGAATATATCAACCTCGCTCCTGACTCACGAATGAGGAATGACAGTGATCCCGTTTTTTACTTACAAACCTACGTACTCCTCATTTTTGTTCAAGATTATTGGCTAATTAGTCACAATATGTCCCACTATCCAGTATCGACTTGTTGCCGGACCTAACGTTAGCCCGAGATAAACGTATGTTCAAACTATCGTACTACTCTGGGAGTTATCACACATTAGTGATCTGCTGCACGTGGCTCACCGGAGAGATGTTCTTCAGCTTTGTTAACCAACATTATTAGTATCATTATTAAACGGGTTACGGTAAAAAGGCTCTATTGGTTTTTGCACCAGTTGCTGTCTGAAAAAACCTCTGCTCCATAAACTTAAGTATGGATTATATTTTTGGACGGAAAACATCAGTGTTATGCTTGCAAAATTGATCTAATTTAGCGATTGCACGATTTCCGTCATCAAGTTTCATAGTTTCTGTTTTCTGTTTTCCCGTCTCACACCCATCACTTGGTTCTCATCGCTTGCTTGTGCTCTATTCCTTTGAAGCAACCTCTGTTCCCTGTTTATTACTCCGAAACTTCCCTTCACCGTCCACTTCATCAGTCGTCATGGTTGTTGCTCTGTTGGCATGCATCTGATTACTTCGCCCATCTGTTCCACCAAATATCAGGGTCCTTACCACATTTCTCTCATTTCCTCAGCAGATCTCATTTTACGATTTCAAATCACGTTTTGATAAATCATTTTCCTTAATCTCCCCACTTATCACGGCACTAATCGCAGTGAAACCCCCCACTGTCCTCAGTTTCAAGTCCGTTTATTTCAGTTCATGTGGTTGCTTGTGATTAAAGTGAAAGCTGCTCTTTCTCTAACTTTTGTTAACTACACTATTTTGTCAACTTGGACAATAGGCAGCGCCAGCTGCACAGGGCGTATCCATATTCAATCCTTTATTTCTTAATCAAATTTATTCCGATGACCAGCATAGAATTAATCCAGCGATCGATAACAGTTCACAAAACAACCCTTACCTTTAACTGTTGGTTGTTTCGTTTGAGAAACTGAATTTCATCTTGATGCTTCTTTTCTTCTAATTGTCGCTGTTCTGCAGCTCTTTTTTCTATATGCTCACACTTTGTCTTCAACTCTTGCACTTGTCTCTCCAGATCTCTTTTGTCTTGTTCCAAATCTGCAATCTATAATTACCTCATGTTATTGTTTCAGTTAGCAATTTCGAGGCAAAAATCTTTGCGCATCAGATGATGCCACACACTAAGACGCAACACTTGCGCGCTTTTCAATATTGTTGCTACTTTTTTTACTTTCGGCGGTACTAATCTTCTTGCAGTTTTATTTTACTAGATGATGCACTTTGAGCGACCTCTTTTTTATCATGGCACTCATTTCAACTATGTGCAATCTTGAGGCCATCGTAAACCAGTTTTATTAAAGATACCTTTTTCTTGCTAAGCAACCCTAACTAGAAGTATGTCATTGTATATTCACTGAGATCAGTCAATATCAGTCATTAAATTGTTTGAATAGTTGTTTTCGATCTACGTTTATACAAATAACAAAAAACCTGTGGCAGATCTCCCGAGTGTATATGCGTTCACCTTCCAACCATACCGTTCGGCGGCCGCTGTCAATGCATCTCAATCGCAACCACTGTTGCTTCCGAGCCAAGCAAGTCACACGACTTGATGATCTAGTGTCTATGAAGTTCTGGGTCCTCCAAGTCCAACTTTCCAGTTCAGTTTGTTAACCACGCTCCGGGCACCGAACTAGTGTGGCTCCCGTTTATATGACTACGCTACTAACTTAGAGAAAGAAAATTGAACAACAGAGGCAAACTTTCTCCCAAATAAGAAGCGATTTGAAAAGTGATCCTAAGAAAGAAGACTAATTTTTGATGGAAAAGATTAATAACATGAGGTGTGATTCTGTGTAAGATGGCGTCAAACTTGTGTCTGCGCTATTCCGGCTCGATCTTTTTAGTACCGATGTACTTCTTGCCTTGAGGCTTCCTTCCAAAACGATAACGCGATATCCTCTCGACCCGTTCCCCTGTGATATGTCACACTCTCGTCGGCTAGTTCCCCTGCTGCATCACCCAAATATGCATTAAGCTGGTGAGTTATAGACGCTTAGGCAAGTGGTCATCTGGAATCCAAAGAACTTGGCTGAATGAACTTAAGTGGCTTTACTACATGGGGACTGTCTAATTTTGCATTGTGTTCAAAACCAGCTGGTGGATCTCAGCATTACTCTCTCGGTCATCGCCAGCTATGAGTCATTGTATTCAAGTGGTGGTGAGTGAAGACAAAATGTCTCTATCTTTTTACACCCGGATCCATGTAATACAGTCCATTGAGCCTCCTTAATGAGTCGTTCTCTTGTCATCTCCATAGATAGTCGGAGCCTTGAATAGCTGATCACCACAACCTTCGCGGTGTTTCAGTTGCCAGTGGTGTACGTCTATCCACATAAATGGAACGACCCGGCCTCTCGAGTGGATATTCGGTATTTGTGCGATTCGGTAATGTCTCGCTCCAATCAACAACGACTTTGAATGTGCAAGACGTATGCCTGAGCGTGCGGTATGCTGCAACATTTCGTCCAGATCACTTAGATACAGGATGTGTCTAGTATCAAGAAGACTGTTTATCGCTCGATCATTCGTGGCGCACTTTGTTGTGCACTTGAAATAACACTCTCATTATTTTACGAAAGTGGATTTTTCTGTTGTTTGAACCTCCACAACGTCCATTTCTTTTACTGACGGCACTTCCGTTTTACTATCTGCTTTCCTGAGTCCCGTGCTATACCGTTCCTTTTCCTTGGTGATTCGCTTCCTATTTTTTGTAGGCTGCACAATACACGTTGGGTTCAGTTTCTCCAACTTCTCTACTGTCCCGTACTTGATACGTCTCTTACGTCTCATTGTTATCGACCAGTATCCCAGGCGCCACCCAACAACTTAAAACAGAGTCGTCTATTATGTTATTGATCACGAATTTGGTGGGAATGAACGATAAGTCGGTACTGGCTTGCTCCACGTGTCGTAGTTAACTCAGAAGAGGCTTCGCGCGACCGCTCATACTTTATCGGGTTTCCTGATTAAGAAGTGTCGTGATGATGGAGCATTTCCTTAGCAGCCAGTTCTAAAATCTACAGTAGCGAAAGTATGTACAGTCCTTTCAAACTAAGGCTTTCTCCATTTCGAATAAGATTTTTATAATTTGCTCTGAATAATTAACAAAAAATATGAAGATTATAGTAGGAGGATTCTATTTGACCTTCGAATAATCGGCCAGCTAGTTACAGTTGTGTGATACTCATGTTGCATCCTAAGATCACCGAGCGGAAGATCATACTTAATTGATTCCCACAAAAATTTTACCATCTCTTCTTAATTGTTAGGATGACGGACTGTTTTCACTGCTCCAAGACAATGACATTTACGTCGCTATCTAATGTCGGTAACATTTGCAGGATGGAGAATTCTAACGTTTTGTTTCCATCTAAACACGAAATATTATATTGGGTTCAATATTGTGTTTTGTGTTGTTAGTCTTGTTTTGATTGAGAAATGTAATCTCTGCCTGATCTGGGTTTGATTTGAAGTAGACCCCGGTTATTTGATCAATTGCATTGCATCAACAAACATGGAGTTTGCATTGTCTGGAACAAGCAGCACTGGAAACACCTCACTTCGTGTCTGATTTCTTTGAGACTCGAAGTCACGGCATCAAGGTCCCAAGTGAGTTCACAGGAGTGGGCGTACGGTGGATAGTTGGAGTTTCTCCAAAATCTCCCACCAAGCATACAAGTCAACATGTATTATAGTAACTTATACGTCTTTCTTCACTTTACTTTCGATCGCCTAGACTTTTGTGGTCCTGTGATTCCTATGATCTACAAAGGTATCCAACTTATCCCTATGATAATAACTATTTTCGCTTTCCTGACCGTTGTCACTATCTAATGCTTCTGAGCCATCCTGAAACTCACATTGTTACGAAGTCTCAGAGAGGAGCAACCGTTAATACCTTTCGTCTTACATAACCCACGAGTTGCTCCAGAAATCCATTCACTACATGGGTGAACCAGTCTAGAAGGACAGTTGATTTCCACTTTTTTCACTATGCATTAGAGTCGACTTTTTCTATTCGTTCGCAGTGTTCGTCACTAGTAGGTGTCATTTTAAATGAAACTCATACATTATCTTCGCAGACCGTTGTTTTGCATACCAAGGTACGATCAGAATGCGATTGGTTGATCCTACTTGAACTTTGTGTAGCTCGTGACGATATAGCCAGATCTGCTCTTATCCGAATGATGCGCGCACGTTTGTGTTTTCCAAATGTTCCACTAGTACAAAATATGTAATCAGTGCTCGGTCAAAGTGACCGATCGCCATCATCTGGACTACATGCGTTGCCTGGTAGACCATTATTCATTCTCTGACAGCCAATCCACTTGTGCAATCGTGTCATCTGTTGAGATCGCATTATCCCCATCCGTAGTTATATAGGTAATTGATAAGAGTAGTTCTCAGAATTCTCTTTTGTCTTCTTTCCATCTGTAATATGTCGGGTATACACAGAAAGAGTAAATACACCGTTTACTTAGAATTCATTATTACACATCCGGGTGTCTGTTGGTATCCGGTCGGGTTGGTTGCTAGCAACATTTTTGTTTAATGTAACACGAGCACCGTAATTTCTCACGTCTACTGCTTCAGTATCACTTGAAATGCGAATTTTGTAGTCATTGTAACTTGTAGTTGAGGCAAAATACTGAAGATTATTTAAGGTGTTCTACTCTAAGATACTTCAGGTGCTGTCTTTTAGTTGCGTTTACTCTGTTTACTGTGTTAATTGTGATCTTAGATTTAGCAAATTTTAGGGACACTATCAGTACCGTTTTCGGATTCATTGGTTATCTCTTGTTTGTTAACTTGGAGAGGCCATTTTAAAAGGCATGAATCAGGGAGAGTTTAGGATGCGAAACAAGCGACAACGCTTTGTGGATGGATAGTACTTCCTGACCACTCCTTGCGCTAGAGAAGTGTTAGTTAAGGACACCTAATTACAGTCTTGAATCAACAGTTCCATCCATCTGGTTTTTCTTCTTGACATCATTGACCCAACTATTTACCTGACCTAGGACGATTATCCAGTTTTCTACGATTTTAGCGGCTCTTGCAGCACAGGTGAATTTTGCCTGGTATGCACCCTGTTGTTCAGGAGCCACCTGGATTGGAGCCGGTGCCTTGCTAACTAGCGATCAGTGATTATCTTATTGTAGTACCAGAGACAATCCGTTGCAGTTGTATTCTGTGCTGCTCAAGCTGAGTCTATATTTTGTAAGTTGTTATTTTCCGTGATTTTGGCACGAAATATGCCAGCGACTTTCACATTACTATTGTTTCCTTTGACTACTTTTGCAACGTATTTTAATTCCTCTTGCAACACTGAATTGTTTGCCTTGGAATGAGCTATGTGGATTGCTACCTTTATTTTCGCAGGATACCGTAGATTTTGATATGCGTTGAATTTTGCAAATAAAGTTACATCCTTCTACCACAGTCATAGGCGCAACTACGTTCTGGCACCTAGGAACTAAATGCTGACCCAGTACCACTTCTATGTCTCTGACCTTACTCCTGTCATTATCGACCTATTTATCGACCCTTGCGCACAGCATGGTTGCTTTATTCAGGTCTATTCCTTTAGTTTCTTGTGAGCACCGGCTTTCTAAAATACAGCGATACCTTTTTGCTTTTGTTATCGGGAGATATTTTTATCGCTTCTAGGACCCCTATTGGCACACGTGAACGGCTAGCGATCTTATTTGGGTGTGTTTTCGGTCACTGGTTTAACTATGAGGAAAACACAATAAATAAATGTCACCAAATGTAATAGTGCATTGCTAAAGCCACAGGTCTTAATCGGTGATTCTTTTTTAATAAATAGTACATTCAATCACCGTGAGTGACCGATGGGCTGACGCTGAGTGATTTTTGCTCTTGACCCTCCTAGTTTACCACATTTCTGTCGCATATCGCTCACTCAAAAAACCTCGGTTGTGGCCTTATATTCCCAGTGTTGCGTTATGATGGTAGATAAATCGAGTTCGGATAAGCCTGGACGGCAGTTGCGATCAGAAAAGTACACTCATGGCATAGGTT